CTTGATTCAAGAATGATTAATCTGACGAGGAAAATGAAATATTGTACCTATGAATTGTTTATCTTAGGTGTTCAGATCGAATAAGTGCTAGATATATAACACTTTAAGTTTGACGGCAAGAAAGCAGATGACAGCCAGAACGAGGCTAGTATGGACACGTGACGAACTGTTGCAGCCATCTTTGTCTTCACAGTAGCAGGTTTCTCGGAACACTCCGGTGTAGTCCCAGCTCCAGCGACAGCCCCAGGCCACACCTGATGAACAGAAACAGTTCAGCTTCAACCTGACACTATCATACAGAATATGTACTCGGAATATGTGTATGGAACAGTGCCGACCACTGACGGAAGGAAGGGTGAGTGAGTGAGTATGGTTTTACGCCGCTTTTAGCAATATTCCAGCAATATCACGGCGGGGACACCAGAAATTGGCTTCACACATTGTGCCCATGTGGGGATTCGAACCCGGGTTTTCGGCGTGACGAGCGAACGCTTTAACCACTAGGCTACCCCTGTGTCAATACTAGCCACTCAAAACGATATGTTGTCAAGTAGATCTTACACCCTTTCATAAATCTTTCGATGATGAAATAAAACCCGCATCTTGTCCGACTTCTGTAATCATTTATATAGTATTGAATCATAACCATACCCCCACAAGCCCCAGAATATATGAGTGAGTGGGTGCGTTTAGTTTTACGCCACTTTTAGCAATATTCCAGCTATTTCACAGCGGGGGACACCAAAAATGGGCTTCACACATTGTACCCGTGTAGGGAATCGAACCCGGTTCGTCGGCGTGACGCGCGAACGGTTTAACAACTTGGCTACCCCATCTCCCCATATAATATATGAAAGGAAATCATTCACACTAAATGTTAAAATAGCTGTTAATTTTTTTTACCTATAACATTTCTTTTATTAATTATATTCACAGAGATAAACCGCTCAGACCTGTTGAATCCATTTGGCAATAAATCACCACTGCTGTTTCAGGTGTCGTTGCCAACCTCTCAAGGTGACCTAATATTTCGCTATTAGTTTTTACGTGGGTATATTGATATTCTCAATGTGAACACATTTTGTATATTTCAACTTGTATCAATAGAAGCCCATAACACCAGCACCTTTCTTAGAATTCCAGTCATTGTTAACCTAACTAAAACTTTTAGATATGTATTTTCTTTTAAATTACATTATTTTTCTATCATCAACGTTAAAGACGATTTAAAGAGGGAGTGAGTTAAAATTTAACGTCACATCGGCAATATTTCAGTCATATCGTGACCGGAATTTGATTGTAAATAGTAAATACATTAGGGTTAAGAAATCTGTCAGCGATGGACAGTAGACTCACTAGGGTATCACAGGTATAGGTTAAAACTAGTTGATAGCATTAGAAAGAATAGATTAGTAAACAACAACACAGTGTAAAATGGGCTATAGATCGCCAGCAATCAAAGGTAGATCACCATACTAGGGACCATGGGGACTTACAGTACCTTTGCTACCTGCATGAACACAAGCTGGATTTACACCATCCCTTAGATATAAAAGAAAACACATCGAGAGGGGCGTTTCATTGCTAAACCTTCCGCATGTAACATGTGGTTACAAGCAGGTGTTTTACCCATCAAGCTACGTGGTCTGTCGTCAAAGACCACCGGTGGTAGTTGCAAATTATTTACAAAACACACACTCCATGAAACGCGAACGTAGACTAAAAATAATATTGTGTTCATATATGTTCGAAATAAGATTTCAAAACCGAACTGTGTCAAGTTTACCAATATTAGTAAAATCATTACTGCATACTGACAATTGCGGGTTCTTGAATAGGCAGACAGATATAGTTTATCAAAGTGTCACGTGAACGATTACATGAAATAAAATACACAATAGACGCGGTAAAATATCGTTCACCCAGCCAATAAGGCTTATGAGACAATTTAAAAACTATGTACATTTCGTAAGGTATAAGAAGTAGTTAAAATGGATAATAATTTTGCAGGAATAGGGTCGTCTTCTAAACATGTTACATGTTATCAGCGGTTGATTAAATTAGCGGGTCTGGCGACATTAAAATACTTAATAAATGCACAGTGTTATCATAATTAAAGTCTCCATTTATAAAATGATATCTAAGATCCAGGTAAAAATACTTAATAAATGCACAGTGTTATCATAAAGTCTCCATTTATAAAATGATATCTAAGATCCAGGTAAAAATACTTAATAAATGCACAGTGTTATCATAGTTAAAAGTCTCCATTTATAAAATGATATCTAAGATCCAGGTAAAAATAACAATTCTAAAGAAAATGTATCTCGTCATCCACACAATTACAGAACGGTCAAATTCTCTCACACAGAGGGGTGGGGATAGGGTGGGGGTTGCTGTAACGACCTGTTTCTATACGTAATTGTAGATTACCGCAGCGTAGTTTAGTCAGGTTACTTCTCTTATACTGCTTCATTTTAAGGGATCACAGGTTATTCAACTGAATGTATCGAGATAAATATGTACAATAGACTTCTAGTTCGACAAATATAGTGCCTGAATGATTGTTTCAAACTACAAATTGTGACAAATTTGGAAAGACAACCCAAACATCCATATTTACGTTAGATGACCGTCTATACAAAGCTGTATACAAGTCTAAAACTTGGCACGGGGGTTACCAAGCTTGACTTGTAACAAAATACATATTATGACACTTAACTTTCATAATATATAAACAATAAACACTGAACCGATAACAATAGGCCGGAACAATCGCCATCACTCAAACCTTAGGCTACAGGCGAACCCCCCATTGGAAACCGGTACACCCATATTATAGAGCTGCACTAGCACCTGCTTTGCACAATGGTACTCTGTTCTTATGGTGGTAACACATTTTCCTTGGCAAACAGTCACTGGTTCCTAATAACAGGAAAAGACGGATACTACCTGTAATTTCCCCGAGGAAGGGATTCAGTCTATATCTCACGTTGTATATATACACTGTGTCCATTTCAAATCACGATATGTCTTACTCAAGATTTTGTCTCGTAAATCGATTTTTGGCTCTTGTAAGCATGGCAACGGCACGAGACACAAGATCTGGTACATCAAGAGCATTTCACAATAATCAAACGTTCGCCCTTTAAGCAGATTGGGCAAAAGCTGGTGTTGGTTGTAGATTGTACATAACGCTTTTTCAGTGAGAACACTTCCGGACATAACTGCCCTGATGTATTCAACTTGTATTGAACCCTTAGAATCCAAAAACATATTCGGCGATTTCCTTTTTAATTTATTAACTGAAATAGAGAGTTAAAGTAATGATAAATCCTTACCGATTGCTAGTACAGAGGCGAAAAATAGGAGCACTCCAATCACTCTATCTGTCGCCATCATGGCGGATGACTATTTTGTGTGTCAACGAAGGTGGCGCTTCTCTTCTCCGCTCACCTGTAAATTTCATTCAGGTAAGTCAGGTGTGTCAAAAATATTATCGCCCTGTGTAATAAAATATATTTGATTTTTAGATTTTTAAAATACAAACTTCTTATATGTGATGTACGTTTCCTAATTTTAAGAGATAAATATTTCAGGTCCTGGAATGTTTCTTAGTCATATGTAAAACGCGCATGCGTCATTGGGGGCCCTGTTTGGGATACAGGTAAAATGGTGTGGCCGATGTGCGGAAAAGCTGACAGTGATGATAACATTCTGCGATTTTTATCAAATCTTTTGAAGTAAACCTTTAGGACAAATAAAACATGAGTGCGTTAACATTGTTTTTATTAATCTGAGCGCGCATTTAGTCATTGTACAGTACATTTCCAACACGAACTTATAGATAAATGAAGTAGTTTGGTAAAATGAAAGTATAAGTAGATATTTAAAATGATCTACATTTGTTTTGAAAAGGAATCCTAGTTCAGAAAGATACTTCTGTAAGCTTGTTATCGATCGTGAGATCTGCAAAAGAAAGCTCTGTGAAATTGGGACCCGAAACTGTTTGTCTTGTGGTCTGCATCTGACCTTGTGGCGTGGTAGGTTGGTTACTTTGTTACAAATATGAGGGACATGGAGGTGATTATCACTCACAAACATGACGGACGTGGAGGTGATATCACTCACAAACATGACGGACTTGGAGGTGATATCACTCACAAACATGACGGACTTGGAGGTGATATCAATCGCAAACATGATGGACTTGGAGGTGATATCACTCACAAACATGACGGACTTGGAGGTGATATCAATCGCAAACATGATGGACTTGGAGGTGATATCACTCACAAACACGACGGACTTGGAGGTGATATCAATCGGAGGTGATGATATCACTCCACAAACACGACGGACTTGGAGGTGATATCAATCGCAAACATGATGGACTTGGAGGTGATATCACTCACAAACAGGTGATATCACTCTCACAAACATGATGGAACATGACGGATTTGGAGGTGATATCACTCACAAACATGATTGACTTAGAGGTGATATCAATAGCTAACATGATGGACTTGGAGATGATTTCATTCGCAAACACTACGGACTTGGAGGTGATTTCACTCACATATAAATGATGTACTTGGATGTGATATCACTCACAAATACGACGGATTTGGAGGTGATATCACTCACAAACATGACGGACTTAGGGGTGATTTCATTCACAAACACTACGGACTTGGAGGTGATATCACTCACCAACATGATGTACTTACTGTTACACCAAGAAGAGTTTGCCATAGAGTTAAACCGTTCGAAGATACTTTATTCAGAATTATAAAAAGTTGTAAAATACATTTTTAACATGAGGCTATGTATACGGGCCGTGAGTTGCATCTGCCCGTACATTCTACCCTATCAGCTTGGTGAATCCAGGTGCTAACTTGAATACACACACCCAAATACGCCAGCCTCTAAAGCCATTTGAATGTCCCAACCCACCGAGGGCCCCTGGAGACGCTTGTCACACACCTGTGCATTGGCGACCTAGTTATCAAGCGGCCAGGCTAAGTCCGCAGATACGGTACGAATTGACTTCAACGATGAAGGCGATTCTTGCCACTTTCGCCTTAATTGTGGCAGTATTTGTGATTTTAGATACAGGTAAGTTCTGGTTGACTAGTAATTAGGGCCAGATGCAGGCGCTGCTTTGATCTTCAAATTACCTGTCGATCTACCTGTAATCAGACACAACACTCACGGAAGTGCCCCAAAGATTACTCAGACCGCCATGTTTAGGGAAAACAAGGATTTGAATATCTATATGGAAGATGTGTTCTAACATTAAACGTCAACTATTAATATACAATGATTTATGCACCTGGACAGCATAGAAATTGGAAAATACATGAAGTACCAATCGTTTGATGTTAAGCTGTTAAACCGTAGAAACTTTTAAAATGATATTTAAAATGGTACTCATACACACTTTATTTTACTAAACGGTGTGTGTGTGCGTGTATACGTGCGTGCGCACACACATATTTATTTTAATGTTGTTTATTTTTCAAGTATGAATACCTGGTGCTGGATTAAAACACTAAAATGCCGAGAGGCTAAAACAAATGGCCGTCAGGAGAGCTGAATATTAGGATTCATTCCCAGTTGGATGACAGGGGCGGATACAGCTTTTTGAGAAGGGCATGGGGGTGGGGTTTGCACACTATTGAGAAAAGGAGGGGGCACACTTCATTTTACCCGAGTTTCAATGGTCATTTAACAAACTTTCGGCACAGAAGGGGGTGGGGGTGCACACCCCTGCACCCTACTCTGGATCCCACCTATGCATGAAACCATGAGAAGTCAGGGGATAAAACAGTCATCAAGTCAGTATACTGCATCTGAGTGGGGTGTCCAACTCTCACATGGTATCTCAGTGGGCTACCTTGATAAATTCAGCATTAGTTAGGGCTAACATACATGACACAAGCAGCCACTCCCATTTATGAGCATGCAACAATCAAAAGCTACAGTAAACCCCATACCACCGTAGGGACCGTTCATAGCTAAGCATAATTTTAAAGAGAGGGTGATGATGATATTTATGGTTTAGCATGTACACACACACACACACACACACACACACACATACTCTAAAGTTTGTTACATAAAGAAATCAATGTTTCATAGTGTGACCAGTGTTTATAGTTGTCCTAACATCAATGCTTCTGCCATTGCTCTGCAAACTATTACCTATTTCATTCTAGGTTGAGACATTTGAATACATGCCTTGTGTGGAACTGACATTCTTACAGTGGGACCAGCATTATCTTTAACTCATAGAATTGATTCATAAATACAAGAGACTTGTAAAAATAATTTTGTTATTAAAAACATTCTGCTAAAGGGATGCCCCAGTGTGATCAGTGTATGAAATAAGGCCCGTCCGACTGATCGAGAGGCTAGTCTAATTTTACAGCTAGCCAGCCCGATGGAACGGGTGAAAAAATAATTCAGATAACGTGTCCATTGGCACTGTCTATTTAATATTTAAGAAGGACTGGTTAAATCTCTTCTGGGCTGGTAAGTTTTTGAAGCTACCAGCCCAGATGTCTGGCTGGGGTTTTGGCTTATTTCATACACCAGTGTGATGCCAAATATACCATCTCATGTGTTTATAAATTTCCGCCATACAGTGATTATGCAAGAAAGGTGTCCATATCATACCTATCTATGTACAAGTGGGAACATCATTTTTGTCATGAATCGTCAAAGTTGGCTTGAACAACACCTGGAATGTTGTAACTTTGATCAAACAACTAAAGAGCAAGAGTTGTATGGAAGGCTTTGGTATATTCATAAAAACATACATGAGTTGACATAACATAATTGTAGACAATGGTAGAGAAAGTGAGAGATCTTAAAAGCTGTTAAACATTTAAAGCAAAGGTGCTTACCAAGTATACTAAAAGGATAAGCCGAATTTTAAGGAAAGTTGTGTTAATTATGTGTCTATTTACCCTGAAGGGATGCACGATTTCACACACTATCACTTTGATTGTATGATTGAATGAATGCATGATTGAGTGCATGATTGAATGCACTGAAGATGAGTGGAAAGTTTATCCTTCTTCTTGTGTTGCAGGTTCGGCCATCAAATGTTTCCAGTGTAACTCGTATCATCAGCATGATTGTGCAGACTGGTTCGACAACGTCACACAACACTTGACACAGTGTAAAGATGATGAAACCCTTTGTCGGAAGGTTGTGCAGGAAGGTAAGCTGAAATACACTCCCTCTGACAGATTTCACTATTTGTCTTTCAAGAATGTTATCAAATACTGTTATACGAGAGTTTGGTTATTAGAGGGCTCTCCTGGGAGATCTGTTTCCTTCTGATAAACTTAAGGTTCAAATGCAACTGAAATTACCAGTGAAAACAATTGGCATCAACAGACTGATCAACAAAGACCCTAATCAGTGTAAGTAAACTATGGCTCAGTATTATTCGTTACACTGCTATACTGAGTCAACTGACTGACTGACTGACTGACTGAGTTTAGTTTTACGCCCGCTTTAGCAATATTCCAGCAATATCACTGCGGGGGACACCAGAAATGAGCTTCACACATTGTGCCCATGTGGGGATTCGAACCCGGGTCTTCAGCGTGACGATCAAACGCCTTAACCATTAAGCTACCCCAACACCCCGATATAATTAGTCTAAGAAAACCTAGTAGAAGGTCACGTCAGCTAACCTTTTGGACTGACCAATCAGAACACAGCTTACCAAAACGCGAAAGTTAACATTTCGCACATACCGTTTGAACCTCTACCTCCAAAACTCGAACGATTCCAAATGCTATTTTCCGCACGATCTCTTCTGAGTAATACACATAATGAGTAAACAGTCGCTGAAGAAAGCGTTTTTGTCAATATTGAAGGATGTCATCTTGCGAAAATATAAGCAAATAGTAACCATGTCATTAGAAACCCACAAGCGTATATACTGCAGGTCCAATATCTGTGTCTTATGCGGATTTTCGTTTGTTGAGAGATAAATGTCAGCGTCCAGGGAAGAGAAAATCCAAAAACCGTTTTGTAAGTCCCGCCGAACCCTAGCAAGTAGTCGTTGTCTGATTGGTTAAATCCGTTCGGACATCTCGCGTTTGATTGGACGGTCATAGGTCGCTCAAAGGTTAGCTGACGCGACCTTCTACTAGGTTTTGTTAGACTCAGTATAGCAGTGTAACGAATAATAGTGAGCCTAAGTTTACTTAGACTGGACCGTAATAAATGTACAGTTTAAAAGGTAAATTGTCTATTTGGTCGTTTATGCTCATGTATCAGTTACCATTTCAAAATTTTGCATTATTTTTATTTCCTTGATTTACAAAACATTTTTATAGTTGCAAGTCACGGATTCCATGGCATAAAATTGGCTAAAAGCTATTTTCACTATTCTTTCTGTTTCCATAAACCCCAAAACCAATCAGGCCATGCTTACTAACGCACTACTGTTTCTTGGTTGTAGAATGAGAAGGGCTTGTGTAACAGTTTAATCAGTCACCCTGTTTCAACAGTTAATGACTAAAACATTCAGTTTGTGAAGGGCGGTGGGGTAGCCTAGTGGTTAAAGTGTTGGCTCGTCAGGCCGAAGACCCGGACTCGAATCCCCACATGGGTACAATGTGTTAAGCACATTTCTGGTGTTCCCCTGCCGTGATGTAGCTGGAATATTGCTAAAAGCGGCGTAAAACCAAACTCAGTCAGTCAGTTTGTGAACATATTTATTGACCAATGAAGGTCTGGGTTAGAAAATTGATCGTCAGTAACCCATGCTTGTCGTAAGCGGCGACTAACAGGATCGGGTGGTCAGGCTCGCTGACTTCCCAATTGTGCAGATCGATGCTCATGCTGTTGATCACTGGATTATTTCCAGAGCTCCACTATATAGCTGGCATTTTGCTGAGTGCGGCGTAAAACTGAACTCACTCACTCACTCGGAACATATTTATTAGAATTGACTTCTAAATTATTCATGAAATGTACTAGGCCTCACAAAATGTATTTAGAACTTACCAAATAATTATGCCTCAATTTTGATATCTTTTTTTTATTTTCAGTATATTTTGATGGCAAGTGGGAGGTCCGCTACGTCCGACAATGTGCGAGTGCAGGGGTGATTGGGATGTACGAAGGGCGGGTGTGCCAGGAACGTCTCGGAACGTACCGTGTGAAGATGCGATACTGTCACTGTGACAACCAGGATGGCTGCAACAGCGGTGCAACTTTGACGACGTTGACACCAGTCATAGTGGGAATAGTTGTGACATTATTTCAATATGTGCTGCCAAAGTTATGAAGATCAAACATTTTGGACCTTTACCCTGGGGAATCACAAGATCTATGCAAGTCTTGAGAAAAAACATATGACCAATAAGCTGAGATGATGATTGTAAGAAACATATGTCTACATATCAATCAACATACCAATCATGCTGCTGAAATGCATGCCAGTTAACAAATTCATGTCTCCTCCAGATTTCAAGAAAAAAAATATTTTCCATGAGTAGACACATTGAAAGTATCCAAGTTACTTTCCAATTTTTATGTGGCATAAGCATGTTTGTTATTTTCAGTCATGTGAAATGTTTTCCACCCAACTTATGCTACAACCATTAGACATTAAGAGAGGTTCTACTTCCTCATTACATCATTTAACTGAAATGACAACTGTTGAGAAACATGATTATTGTTTAATCAGCCAGTTGATAACCATCGTGCCTATAGTCATTCTTTATCATGAATGCTTGTATCCACATCAGTAAGGGTGACATGTTATCAGTTGAAACTGTTTTTGTGACAAAAGTATTTTCATTATTTAGAGTCATATGAAATGTTTTCTTCCCGTGTTTTGGTATAACCATTCTACTATAAGAGAGAGGTTATTCTTTTTGCTACACAATATGTAACTAGGGAGTTCTTCGTGTTTTACCATACTGTTATTCCACCTCGGAGAAAGAGCCATATCTGATACACTATACTAGTACCATGTAAATCACCAAAATTCATTATCAGTTCTTGAATTTTGATACGTCAGAATTTGAGGAGAAAACAATTGTTAGTTAATGTGTACTGATTTATCAGATAATAACCATCCTGTCCATAGCTGGTCATTGTCATGATTGCTTATATCCTCGTAACAGCCATCAACCATTGACCTGTTGTACATAGCGACTCCTGTATATTTGTACATTTGATATATCTTTTATACAGATCACTTAATCAAACATGAATGTCTTTATCCATGTAGTAATATCTCTAGATAGGTGACCATTTAATTCTTCTGATAATTTACCATCATAAGGTTTAATTAGTTTATTTGAATAAAAATACAAATTAATTTCTCCACTTGTTCATATTAGCTTAACATTTTTAAAACGATTTTTTAGAAAAAATGTGATTTGAGTCCAAGATAATAGTCACAGACATAAATATTGACCTTCTCTTGCCTGTCAAAGGTCTTGAATTTTTGACCTGTTCATATAGCTCTATATTGTCATTACTTACAATGAACAAGGCAGTTTCTTGCATGGTATAAGAATTATTGTTCTAATACCATTCTCATAATGGATGTAAAATCTGTAGGTATTATGTATGTCATTTAGTTTTATATATTATGGCAATACAGTGTTTTATAAATGAAATGTGGCTTTTAGTAATTTTATCTTTTTTAATAAATAATAATTTTGTACATGATCCATAAGTCTGTGTTTTTCATTGGTTTCTGAGATTATGTAAGCACAAGAGTTGCATCCCTTGCTGCCACACAGGATCTACTGGTTGAGTATTCAAATCCCTGTTATGCTCACAGGTACCCATGCTTTTGCCCGGCATAACAGACCCTTGTCAAGAATTTATTTGTCATACAGAATTCTGACAGACTGTACTCGCTCATCCAATGTTCCACTGATGTGGACAAAAAACCGAATGAGGAGTAAATCATGGTAGATGGGATGGTTTTGTCCCAGTGTCTACCTGTTTACACTTGGGACTTTGAGTCATGAACATGAATGTCCAAAACTGGTAACATGTGGAACTCGTCTCTTCAGTTTTGTGTAATGACGACATTTCACATTCTCAGAATATTTAAAGTTGGAATGTAAAGATTATCAACCACTAATATCCTGAGTGTATGTCTTATCAGAATACATCAGATTTATGCAATCAACATTTAGATAAATTTGATGAAAGTGTCTAGTTTATGTATTCTGGGCAAGAATAGGAAACCTATTCATAGAAACCTATGCTCAACATTCTGATCTGCCTAATGGATCAAGTTGTCAGACTCACTGACCTGGTTAAAAGCATGTGAAGGTCACCCAACTGCATAAAATACCCATCACTGGTTGTCTGGGCCAGACTCGATCATATACTGGCTCCCATCATACAGCTACGCTAAAGAACTAATTGGTGTGTCCAAGCACCCAAACACCACCGTGCACTAATTGGTGTGTCCAAGCACCCAAACACCACCGAGCAATGTCCATGCCAACCATTGGTTACCTAGATTAGACTGGTTACAGGCAACTTGACACTGCCAAATTCTTGGTATTACTGTACAATATTACCCATTCCCTACAATGTTGGTATTGCTGTACAATATTACCCATTCCCTACAATGTTGGTATTACTGTACAATATTACCCATTCCCTACAATGTTGGTATTACTGTGCAATATTACCCATTCCCTACAATGTTGGTATTACTGTGCAATATTACCCATTCCCTACAATGTTGGTATTACTGTGCAATATTACCCATTCCCTACAATGTTGGTATTACTGTGCAATATTACCATTTCCTACAATGTTGGTATTATTACTGTACAATATTACCCATTCCTACAATTTTGGTATTACTGTGCAATATTACCCATTCCCTACAATGTTGGTGTTAGTGTACAATATTACGCATTCCCTACAATGTTGGTAGTGCTGTGCAATATTACCCATTCCCTACAATGTTGGTATTGCTGTACAATTTTACCCATTCCCTACAATGTTGGTATTACTGTACAATATTACCCATTCCCTACAATTTTGGTTTTACTGTGCAATATTACCCATTCCCTACAATGTTGGTGTTAGTGTACAATATTACGCATTCCCTACAATGTTGGTATTACTGTGCAATATTACCCATTCCCTACAATGTTGGTATTACTGTGCAATATTACCATTTCCTACAATGTTGGTATTACTGTACAATATTACCCATTCCCTACAATTTTGGTATTACTGTGCAATATTACCCATTCCCTACAATGTTGGTGTTAGTGTACAATATTACGCATTCCCTACAATGTTGGTAGTGCTGTGCAATATTACCCATTCCCTACAATGTTGGTATTGCTGTACAATTTTACCCATTCCCTACAATGTTGGTATTACTGTACAATATTACCCATTCCCTACAATTTTGGTTTTACTGTGCAATATTACCCATTCCCTACAATGTTGGTGTTAGTGTACAATATTACGCATTCCCTACAATGTTGGTATTACTGTGCAATATTACCCATTCACTGCCAGAATGTTGGTATTACTGTACATAATATTACCCATTTCCTAGCAGATTGTTGGTATTGCTGTACAAAGATTCTGGAAATTTGTAAATGAAAAATATCTTGCAAGTTCATGTAAAAGAGAAGTTACAGACTACTTCTGAAGATGCACAGAAAGAAACCCAATCATTATACAAAACCAGATATTAAGACACATACTTCATATAAAGAGCTCTGTCCACGTTCTTAGAACATGTACATTTGTAACATGAATCAAGTAAGTTAACAAGAGCTAACACTGGAAATTTTTGTTTTGATTTCACTGAAAGATCAACCTGATTGAATAATAATTATTACTGTCCAAGACAGTCACTTTTATTAGCAATGTTTTCAGAAGCACAGACATTAATATTTGTACGTGTAAAAGACACAGGAAAGACTTTTATTTCTAAAAAGATTTATTAGCATGCTTCCCATAAAATCAAGTATGTGACATCAGACACAATAATTTTCACACAATGTTGTGTGTTTAAGTCTTGTACTTGATGTCAAGTGACACCGCCTGTTGTGGAATGAGGATGTTGCCCGCCGATGTCGTCCATATGTCATATAGAAGAAAACAGGATGTCTTATGGCTCTCGAAAATGTTTTACCATGGAAATGGTGAAATGTCTTTGATTTGATAAGGTGAGACAAAAGCACACACAGGTCACCTTTTCTTGAAGCCATATTTCTTTCTCTCATAAAACAAGTCTGTCTTGGCACTGCCCAAATTCACAATTTTAGGACACCCATCTCTCTGAAACATAAATGTTGTATGATTAATATATATTTCATATATGAAATATAGAACACTGAATGTTAAAGATAACACAAAACATGGACTATCATCCTGCACCAAACTTGCAGGCAAACCCTTTGTAACAGAGAAGGATACTGTAACACAGTGAGTCGAGTGACTACGCTCATATAACATAAATGAAAAATCATGCACATAGGGAAATAAGCACACATTCTTTTCATGCAAATACAATACCTAAAGTAAAAGGAAACAAACAATAATGAATAAGAGTCATGCTACTTGCTGCAAATCAGATTTTGGACTTTATTTAATAACTGGACTAAAATGCTGTGCCAGTTTTACACATGTAATGGTTCCAGGTCATTTCAGACCAAAGGTTCATGGGAAGTAACTAGATAGTTGGGAGTACTGGGCTAGATTTTCATTAGTCTGAGACGTGTCTATCTGTGGTGTACTCACATCTTTCTCCATTATAGTGCATTCCTTGCAGTAGTAGGCATCGGACACCCCTGGCCCTCCGCAGATCACACACCGACCCTGGTAGGACCCGTAGTTACATTCGTCGCAGATCCGGACCAGCGTACATGGACGCACGTACGAGTCACAGATAACACATTTCCCCATCACCTGCAAGAAAACAATTACAACATTGTAACTTTAAGGTCTGTGAACACCACTCAGAAGATGAAGATGGGACCATAAACCACATAAATGCATATCTGTATAACCCCATACATCACCTTGCTTGATGAAGGTGGTAGAATCTACCCTGACAAAGAGTCTACATTAAGAAGTTGCTTATCCATAAGAATTTGTCCTTGTTTGGAAATTAGACATGGTAATATCATTGTTGCATTTAAGATTACTCACTTACACTAGACAAGACATATGCCAATTTTATATTACATGCTCATCTTGTAAAAATCCTTACATTACTTGTTAAAACAAGCTACATATAGATATATCACGGAGTGTTTAACATTCTATTTAACATGTTTTTTCATTATTTAATATGCTTTGATAAACATTTATCTTGATGATTACAGAGACAGTCCAATTTAATATGCATAATCTTATCAACATCATCATGGTTACACTTACATTTTTCGCACAGTCTCCCAATAGCTGAAATTGCAAGCAGTAATGATTAGTTAAATGAATTCTTGGTAACATTCAAATAAAAAGTAAAGCCTAGTAAAAAAAGATGCAGGAACTGTATATTTGTGCAGCCTCCACTTGATGTTTTTCATATTGCCTGCCCCCACACTTTGTATGTAATGTGACTTTCTACGTACTTGTCAGTTCGAAATTATCAAGAGGATGGAAAACAAATCTTTGCCAATTCAGTTTCAAGCTGGATAAATATAGTGTTGTACAATCAAAAACATAAGTTTGAAGGCAAGTATTTTAGGAAGTGTAGCACGTTACAATAACTATGATGAGGCTTATGAAGTGCGGTGAAGATTTGGATCGGAATCACCTGGAAAAACACTACAGGACAGTTTGTAGTCCTGTGCCACATGAAGTCAATACAAAAATTGTTTATATGGAGCAGAACAGATGTAACCTTACCCCAGCTAATACCCTGGTAACAATATCTTATGTCAAACTTTCAAAGTAACATGTTAACAAATTTCTGAACCATCAAAGCAAAGTTGGGGGTATGAACAAATAATTCTTGCCATCGGCATTTGTATATCTACTAATTAGCGTCAAAATGACAAGTTGTGACCCAGATAGCATTCAGACGTTGGCCCAACGATGGCAATGGTTGCCAAAGTTGGGTCAACGTCCGAATGCTATGTGGGGATTTATTGTTCCACCAGTAGTAATTCAGCTATAGATATATGCCTACATGTGATGACATATTCAAGAGATCACTGAATATACATACATGGTGTATTGGGAAAGGCAGGGGCCATGAGCCATTTTGCACATTAGAATAAAAAATGTCCCATTCAAATGATGAAGTTTACTATTGACAGCAATTACCTAAAAACAGCAATCAGTGTGAACTAGATAAGTGTAACCGTATTAGAATCTTCCCCTAGATCGATGTGGATTGAAGACCACGAAAATGTCTATAAAGGGATAGGATCGCAAGCGTGATACTTGAAACGTTTTCACTACGTCGATCACCTTCTAACAATGATGAGAACACGTTCAAAATGTAATGATCCATGGGCGGCTGATGCACACTCAGTAATCCATAACAACCTCCATAATTCCATGAAAACACTTGACTGAACAAATTTGAATACAAAGAACCACAACTAAACGCAGAATATACACAAATATACGAACCAACGCCCGGTTGCTTTCGACAGAAAATCAAATCTGGATGATGCTTCGCCATTTTGTTAGAGAATACAAATTGTGGATTAGGAAAGGAATAAATGTCTGTTTTCCCCTACGAACCTAGAAGGTCTCACTGAATAAGGTTATGGAAAACAAAAGAAATATAATTACTTATATTTCTCTTACTTTTGTAGCACTACACGTGTTATATACTATCGTAATTAAGAGAGAGAAATCATTTTTCTAATAAATCATATTTCGTGTTAAACACTTTTGGATACTTTCATTTGACAAACCCAAGAAAGATAACTCATTTCCGACTGAAAACACGCACGTGTTGTAAACGTTGAAAACCTAAACAAAACATGGAAGAAGAGGAAGCGAACAATTTATCAAGCGCTGAAGAGGCTACCGAAGAAACTCCCGTTACATTCAAGTCACTTGTATGTGTGCTTTCAGTTACTAGGATTTGTCCAATGTGTGGTTGAACATGTATGATAGGATGATTTTTAGAACGAAGTTACTAGAACCATGTTTGTTTGGAGTTAGGTGTTGGACAGCTGCTGGAAACAGTTTGGACCGTTTCGGTGTTTGTCTGATTGAATATTCAAGTGTACAGCTTGATCTTCTTTTCCTGGCACGCTACCAGCCACCTTGGGCCTGATCATGTCTAGAATTTTGATGACAAAAAAATAACAATGAATTATCTCTATTTTCATGACGTTTTGTCAGTCACCTTGGGCTTGATGAAGTTGATCATGCCTGGAAGATTTTGATGAAAAAAATTTAAAATGAATTATCTCTATTTTCATGACGTTTTAATTTTGTGAAAACATACTCATGATTAGGGCTGCTTATATGCAAATAAATTGTATTGCTATATATTGTGATTCAGGTTCCTGTATTGTGATACATTTTGCAATATATTATAGGAACATTAGTGTTTGACAGTGAGTGAAAATTGTACATACAGATCCTATTTTGTACACACCAAAGCCCTAGATATATATATATATTATGTTTCTAATAACAGAGGGACGCTTGGGTAGCCTAGTGGTTAAAGTGTTCGCTTAATGCCGAAGGCCCGGGTTCGATTCCCCACATGGGTACAATGTGTGCAGCCCATTTCTGGTGTCCCCTGCCATGATAATGCTGGAATATTGCTAAAAGCTACGTAAAACTAATCTCACACACACACTCTAATAACACACAATCTGAAAATTAGGTTGGATACTATCCGATAGTTAGGGAGTCTATTTTCTATTTTTATACAGTTTATAGGATGGAAAGTATAGTGTTTTGTCTGTGGATTGTGAAAGGAAATATCAGTTTTAACTTAAGCCACAGAGATAATTACATGTCCTAAACTTCATATAACTCAGTATACCGGTTCTCCCAAAAATATTACAATATACATATTGTTTCAGAAGTGTATTGTAGTATACTGGTGCAGTCCCACTCATATAATAATAGCATATTTGTACCGTGCATATATCCAGGCCTAAGCATGCTCAAATCTGATTATTATTACCCCGGATAACCCTAGCTGCCTGAGAAGCGAGAGAAGGTTAATAGTCACATGTCTTATCCCACCGTGTACCCATTTTCTGCTGAGTGAACAGAGGCAATTTTGAATAAACTCACTTGCCTAAGAAGAGACCACATGTATCACATGTGCTTCTTTGTGGGGCAGGATTAAGTCCAAGAAACTCTCAGGAGTCAAGCTGCCCAACACGGTCACCAATCCAAGGACTCTCCGTGCTCAACATTGCTTAACTTCAACTGATTTGTGTCGTGAGCTCTATACGCAGGACCACACACCACCACATATAATCCACAAATGTTTTGATGCATGTCTACTTTTTCATTTATCACAAGGGTGACTACAGTATTATTTAGATATTACCCAAATGAAAACGAAGACACATTTATATTGAATCCTTATAATGTGAGCATGAACTATCAGGTTTATGTTGTCATTGTGATGATTGTTTTCAGGGCATTGTGGATGTACTGTGTGAGGCGTGTGAACAACTGAAATGGAAAGCCCCAACACTGATACAGAAGGAATCAATCCCTGTTGCCTTGGATGGTATAACAGTTTTTTAATTTCTATCTAAATATTTTAGCTCAAAGACTTTAGCTCAGTATGGTCACACTGACAAGACCTACTTACAACATGTACAAGGGTTAGAGTTCTGAAACAGAATACAATCATTCTCTGTTTGGGGTTTATTTTCTATGGAACTGAATTTAACTGTCTTGTTCTTAGATATCTACATTTTGGATAGCAACATTAATGAGGGACAAGAGTAGGACTCTTCAAAGCTGGGAGTCCTGGGGACTCGTGGTATATGTATTCTGAGAGTCCCTTTCCAAAATTGGGAATCAATCAATTTGCATGAAATCAATGATCATGGATGCGTCCCATTTGATAATATGTGTTACTTTCAATGTCATTAGAATTGATTGTAAACAGAATGTTTATATTCCAATACGCAGGAATCACGCGCGTCCTGCAAGAGTGAACCAGTTATCTATGGAAACTGCAACTCTATTTGCAGTGCTGTATTTCTTGGGTGTACCATAAACCTTTGATTTCAGGTTTTAGTCCCAGATGTGCCTATTTTATGTTCTTTGGCTCTTCAGGTGGTGGGGTGGCCTATAGTACTGTCGGAAATAGAAAAACTGTATTTTCTCATTTATCTCTACAATTTATGTAGTTGATATGTGAAAGTGTGAAATATCTGTTAAACTAAGTTCGGCCTAACTACAGTCTCAGTGGTAGAGAGATAGGAAACGGAGAAAAAGGACTTTACTGAGGGGAAATTAGTGCAGAAATGAGCAATGCGGTTTTTTTCTAAGTCCAGAAAGACGTATTTGGAACAGACCATGGCTTTATGCAAATTAGTGTTCGACGATATTGTATTACAAAGGACACTTTTTAAATGCCCAATTTGAAATTAGACGTAGATTCATTATAAACGATAGCTGACGTAAAAAATAATAACTTTTATGCCGAAACTATTAAGGATGTAGCTACCATGCAGTCTCACTGTCACTATAAAAAGAAACAGATAGGAGGGGTCGCCTCAAAAGCAAAACCTGGGGTCGGGCTTGGGGATAGAGATATCAGCTAAGATAAGATAATCCTTTAGGGCAATTATACTGGGGAGGTACACGGCACGTCATAACAATTTACAAATAATATCCAGTCCTGTCGATCTTCGGGTGGTCATGCCACCTATATACTACGATGCGTTTCTATGGTTTTCGGGTATCATACTCTCTTACATATCTCAACATAAACTTTATGAAAGAAAGACACGTAAGATGTTAATCAGTAGATGAGACATAGTCAACACACATGGACAAAGCACAAAATATCTTTGAGATGACCCCTTGTGCCTGTAGGCAGCACGTGCATTTCATGCCAGGTGAGTCGACGGTCCGTCGTCATACCTGGCTGAGCGACCTAATTGCCATCTATAGTCTGATCTATTGTTTTGAGCAGCTATTCGTAATTTTTCTAAGTTTTGCCCGATTTTACGAGTAAACATGCTTTTCTGGATATCATTACACATCCCACTGAACGCCCAGTTAGGCCGAAGTGGGTTATTTCGACATATGCTATTTGCAATTGTGTAAATTTTAGGGATACAGAGTAACAGCCTAAAAACAGTTTTTTTCTATTTCCGACAGTACTATAGCTCGTCACGCTGAAGACCCCACTTCAATTCCCCACATGGGTACAATGTGTAGAGCCCATTTCTGGTGTCCCTTGCCATGATATTGCTGGAATATTGCTAAAAGCGGAGTAAAACCAAAATCACTCATTCTTTGGCTCTTCAGCACGATACTCACATTCATTAATATAGACAAACTTAATGTATAAGAAGCTTTATCAAGACATGGCACTCATGAAATAAAGTTTGTCTAGAAATTGCATTTCCCAACTTCTAAAATGCCACTCAAAGAAGTTCCTCACACTCATTAGTTTCACCAAACAAACCAAATGTAAGACCTGCGTCACTGTGGTTTTTTTTCAATCATGAACAAGCTGGTACACACAATGTGACTCAAATACTGATCACAGAGACATTAAAGAGCCTTTGTGAGACAGTCGAACGTTCTGATAGTATTATTGTTTTCAACAACTGGTGCTACAGAGGTAGATCCAGATTCTGCAGAATTCTGGTACGCTTCTCCGAGGGTACACAAAGTACGTGATCCAGACTACCAGTTGTCTGACTTCCAGTTTGTGTGGGAGCTGCAGTAGCTGAGTGGGTGAGATGGCTGACTTTGTGTGCTGTTGATTAGATGCCTGACTGTGATAGTGTGGGTTCCAATCCCACATATGACCCCAAAATACTAAAATTTGTACTTTAATGAGAAAGTGTCACACCAGTATAACGTTTGTATTTCTATAGATGGTCTGGTCTATGTTCAGACCATCTTGTGTGTAATGCAACATCCAAGGAGATCGTTATGCGAACATGTTAACAATGATAAGATCAATAGTTGATCAGTGTCGATGATTTACTCTTCATATTTCCAGGTAAAGATGTGATAGGTTTGGCTGAGACAGGGTCAGGTAAGACAGGCTCGTTTGCCCTGCCCATCCTCCAGTCACTGTTGGACACACCCCAGAGACTGTTTGCTCTTGTTCTGACTCCAACCAGGGAGCTGGCATTCCAGATCTCGGAGCAGTTCGAAGCACTGGGAGCTGGCATTGGCGTCAAAACTGGTATGTAGAGTTCTGTTATTTTATTGTTTAGTGCCAGTGATATTGCTGGAATATAGTTAAAACATTGTGAAAAATACTCACTCAATTCTTTGTTTATTCAACTCTTAATTTGGTTAGATGGGGGCCAGTGGGGTAGCCTAGTGGTTAAAGTGTTTGTTCGTCACGCTGAAGACCCAGGTTCGATTCCCCACATGGATACAATGTGTGAAGCTCATTTCTGGAGTCCCCTGGCGTGACGCCGAGATATTTCTGGAATATTTCTGAAAGTGGCGTAAAACCAAACTCACTCACACTATATGGCAGTGGTGACTATAATTAAG